ACTTAAAATTATTTTTTATATGACATTTTCTAAAAATTAAATTGTGACTTTATGAAACCTTGATTCTCATGAAAAATTCTCTTTCTCTCGAATGTTGCTAAATCATGCCAAAATTATTCAACGACATTAGGAAGAGACAAATCCGAATAAAAAAGGTGGCGGCAGAGTTAGTAGTTATCGGTTTCGGACATGCTCTACAATAGCACAACTTTTGAATGAACCTGAAGGTTCTGATTCAGACAGAAACTGGGAAAAAGTAGACCCCTTAATTCTCCCATTCATTTTCTTTCCATTCATGACAAGCTATCATTTATTGATATCACTACACACTCTAGGATATCACCTGACACTTAATTCCACTTTTCGGCTTTCGTTATTATCTTATCTAAATGAGAATATTTCGAAAGACCTCATGTGACAGTATTTCAACTGAGAGAGAGCATACAATCGGTGATGGCATTTAGGATGATTATACCTTTGGGATCTGAATGGAATTAGTCATTTCCGGTCATTTTATCAGCGATCGGACCATTCTTTGATTCTTCTTCACTATTGACTTATACTGAGTCTTACACTGAGTCGTTCGAAAAGTAGTTGCGATTTCCGGTAAAGATTCTTTCGGGACCTTGTTTAAGAAGACTCCAGAAGACTCTCCATTCAATATATCTACAAGCACACAGTTGTACTACTTTTAGGGAATAAGTGAGCAAATTTCATTTTCATTTAAAGCTCTATCACGTATCATTATTATCAGCATTGAACATGGTTGTCAGATGTAGCATTGTCGCCACATTTTACTTTTTTCTTCTACCGCGACAAAATGGCTGTCGATGTTCTCCATGATTAGATCATAAGCAGACAATGCTTTGCTACAAAGCGTAAAAAGTAACTTACAAAATTCCGTTCTGGCAATTTTTTACTTTAGGCCGATCTGCTGGTAAAAACTAGCGCCACCCGAATACCACTCCTGTAGGTTGTTGTAGAACTTTTCGAATGAGAAAACCTTCGCCGAAGATGAGTATATCAAGTCTTATGTAGTCAAACTTTTTGGCCGAAAAACCCGAAGTTAAACGATATAGGAGTCATGAGTTACCACAGGAACAGCAAAGTATGACCAAGAAAATAGGTCATATATATCATTGAAGGAGGTTCCTTCCTCCTCCCTTTTCCTTTTTCTAGCCCAATATCGAACAACCTACGTGGCATACTCGAAACAAGGTTTCGAAAGACACGCCGGTGGTTTCATTCCGAGATTCAAGGACTGCCTGCTTATCGTCCGAGACTGACTGTTGTTCGCATAAATATTTTCCACAAAGATGTTCCACCGAACCATATCGAGATCAGATCGGCGCTGCAAGCTGGCCATGTCAGAATTTCGAAATCCGGGAAAGGAACCAGTTTTTCGTGGAACGACTAACGTGGATCGCAGGCTCCAGCTCGACATCTTCGCAGAAGGCCCGTACCATGACCCATGAAGCTGCGACCACTAGAGTAGACTAGAGACGGCTCTCCTCGTAAGTCATGCCATTAGAAGTTGTAACCGTCGGACCTTCCAAATTGGTTTTCTTCTCATCGAAAAATACGACCTGAACGAGAATATTGGACTGTGTGGTTATTCAGGCTGACTTTCGTCCAACCTCATCCCAAATTCAACTTCGCAAAGTCAAGTCGTGCCTTCCTGTGGTGGTCGGTAAGCCTCGGAGTCCCCTTCATTGCTGCCCTGACAATGCTGCTACTCTTTTTCATTGCTCTCCATTCAATAGTTATGGACACCGAGGAACCCAAATCCGATCGAACTTTGTTCAACGACAAGGTTTCGTAAGAAATAGTTCTCAACATTCTCCCTTCGCCGATCGCGGTTAGCATGCGCGGGCATCCTGTCCTCGTGTCCTCATCCTTGTCTTCAAATATCTTTGAATGGAGCTGAAGATCTCACGATTCTTCTCCCCAATTGCCCTCGTACTGAAGCCTATATCACGAAAATTACGATGCTGTGCTTTTCTTCTAAAGAAAGATGACCCCGCGAGTAGTAGTAGCTTCAAAGAGTAGAAAAAAACCGGATAGGTCCGTGTTCGCAGGTCATAGCTTCCCAGGAATTTTTTTTATTTACTTTCACAGCTCAGCGAAAGCCTGGAAAGTTTTGTTTTTCGTGTGTAAGTAGTTGAGTAGTGAATCATAGCGGATGACCTCAAGACAAGCGGCGATTGAATCAAAACTGTTGGTCCTCATAATAGTTAAAAATAATTCCAGTGATTTTATTATAATTTAACATGATTAAAAAACTTTTAAACAACAACAAATCCATCGACTATGCAACAAAAACCTTCGAGACCAAGACAGGGATAATCGTGAGAAGAAGAACTGGTAAGTTACTGTAAGACGAGTTGCATAAATCGCGAGAACAGCAGCATATTTGTCGACCCTTCTTATCGTTCATGCATCCATCCTTCTGAAAATTCCTCTTCATGATCTCTTATTCTGCTTATGACTTCTGCAAGCATTTCTCAATAACTGCTTGTCGTACTTATCGTGGGTTTAGGCTTACCTGCTTGTAACTTGGCAGCTTTTTTGGTTTGATGGTTTTTGGGAACATAATTGGATTATGTCATTGAAAGAAAGGAGCGCATGTTTTGTAACCCGTCAATTGAAAGTGATTCGCGTGAATTCGTAGTGGGACAAACCTGTGGCTTCGAGCATGCCACATAAAGCGTCGTCTAGTTGAAAAACGGACTAGATGAGAGGGAATAGCCAATTATAGTAGGATTTTGAAATGGACTTGCTGCTGAGCACGGTATGATCGCGTTAGAAAAGAGTATGACTAGGTCTAGCAAGCTCTTCTCCATCGAAGATGTGAGAGCAGCGTGCGATGGGATGGGCTGCGAAGAACATCAGCTCATTCAATTAGAGAATCGAGGAGTGTTGAAGTTTAAGGTAAGAGACTACGGAGAGAATGGATGACATGATCAGGAGAGCCCTATTCGAAGCCAAGGTGAAGGCAGAAGTTGCTGCGCAATAAGTAACAAGAAATCCCTGTCGCTGCATAGGACTGAGGCTATTAACAAGAAGAAGGCAAAGAAACGGTGCACTCGATGACTGCACCTTTTTGGCTTTTAAGCAAACATCTTCTTTTCCAGTCATAATAATAGATTGAGCCCATAGTTACAAACAATTATGAAACAAACCAACGTACTTCACATCCGTCAAAAATATCGCTCAGATACATTGTAGAAGTGCCAACATTAACGGGTACGGTGAAGCTGAAAAATACAGGTCAATAAGAAACATTGTACTAGAGAACGTATTCCACTGTAGTGGACGTCTTACGCTGCGAGAAAAGGGTGTTATAGATTATCAAGAAATCACAAATCATAACTTCAAGAGGCTGCGGTCCCAATCCAGGTGATGTCTTAGGTAAGAATATCTACTGAGTAGGGCTTGCAACTATTGAGATCAGATTGACTATGAAGTTTCCTCAGTCGAATGTATCATGTTTGACACTGATTAGATGTTTTCGAGACATTTCACACATTCCGCTCCAAGTTTGGTTGCTTCATACCCATCTGATGAATGGCTTTCACAGAACATTTGTTCATATCAGTGATTCTAGCATAGAGTTAAACTAATCCCGTCTGAACAATCTTCGAATGATAAAGGCCTCTGTCGACAAGTGACGCACTTTTCAGGTTCGTATCAATAAAACGTACTCTGCTGTTAGGTTAGCACCTAGTGGAGTTCCTCAAAGGAGTGTTTTGTCCCCAGTTCTCTATAATATTTACACATATGAGCCCCCAGTCTGATCGAATGCCCAGGTGTCATCTATAAAGCGTTTGCCTATGATTTGAGAATTTACAAATCAGTCTCCACCTCAGATGATTCGGCTGAAATTCAAGAAGCAAACAGCATTGTAAGTACTTGGCCTAAGAAGTGGAATCTCCCCCTAGCCATAGAGAAATCGTCTATACTCCACAGGCCCTAGTCTCATCCCTTTCGATTACATTAATGGCAACAAGGTCTACGTGAACAGTGAATTCAGGGACCTAGGCATCATAGTTGACAACAAATTGACATTTTATAAACACTTCGTCTTTATCGAGTAAGGCAGAGCGGCGACTCCACTTACTCCTAAAGAGTCTACTCGCTGAGGATCCATTTGTTCTACTCATGGCCGACGAAACTTGTGTCCGTTTGATACGGGAATACGGAAGTAGTACTCACTTTCCACATTCTAATGTAACATCAAGAAACTTGAAGCTGTTCAGAACAGCCTCACAAATATGATATTGGTCCGAGTCCTAGGTTTCGACTACAAGTCGATTCCGTGAGGTATAATCAGGAATGAAATGTTGAACTGGACTCTCGTCTATATGGGAGGAAAATGTTCGAACTGATCACCGTTTTCAAAATGTTCACCCCGGGAAAACTGATGTAAAGGTCGAAGATTTTTTACTATTCAACGCACTTTTACAGAAGGAGAGAAAAACAAGCTTTTCGTACCGACACCTAGGACGGGAAGCGGTCGTTCGGCGCGATCCCCCTCATCGAGCCACCCATTCGACGCGGTTTGCGAGCTGGACAACTCGTCCAAGTGGTCGAGCAACCCACTGCCTCCCCAGCTGACAGAAGTCCGGTCGAAGACGGGGCTACT